CAGCCTGGAGCTCCCTCATCTGCTCCTCCAGGGCCCTAAATCTTACACAGGAGGGACAGGCAAGGGGATCACCAGGCTCCACCGCCCCCCAGTACCCTACCAAGCCTCCCCCCCCGAAGACCCCACCAAGCCCCTCCCACGGACCCCACCATGAGCTCCGTCTGGGTGGAGGCCTCAGAAGAGCCCATGACAGGTGGCAGCGCCAGGGCAGGGCCCCTAGCAGCCGCGCTCCGCATCTGCACCATGTCTGCAGAGCTGCGCCTACAGTTTATGCTCGCTGGAGGTGCTGCTCTTAGCAGCTATCTTGCCCCCGCCTTATGCAAATGCCGGCGCACCCTTACAGCAACTGTGGTAATTCAGTCAGCAACTATTATATCTTAAACAATAGTCGTAAATGGAAAAACTATCTGGAGTCTTGTTTTATATGTCATGCACTGGATTGGTTAAGGTGAAATGGGAGCTCCCCTTTCAGAGGGAGGGCTCCAACGTTTGAACTAATTCTCAGATATTGTAATTTTTTTATTTTACCAGTGACATAGCTATAATTTCACAGTAGGGTTTTTCTTCTCACATTGAACATTGTAAGTCAGCAGGCCCGGATGAGCTGCATCTGAAAGTACTGAAGGAACTGGCGGGTGTCATAGCAGGCTCAGGGGTGAACTGATGGCCACCTACAAGTTTATCGGGGTGACCACCAGTACCTGGGGGAACGTTTGTTCACCAAAGCGCCCCATGGGATAATGAGGTTGAACAGTCATAAACTGCTGCAAGACTGTTTCAGGCTGGACATAAGGAAGAATTTCTTTACTGTCCGAGCCCCCAAGGTCTGGAACAGCCTGCCATCGGAGGTGGTTCAAGCACCTACATTGAACACCTTCAAGAGCAAATTGGATGTTTATCTTGCTGGGATCCTATGACCCCAGCTGACTTCCTGCCCTTTGGGCAGGGGGGGTGGACTCGATGATCTTCCAAGGTCCCTTCCAGACCTAATGTCTATGAAATCTATGAAACCACTGGCACGGCTGTTTGAGCACTCGTGACACTCAGGTCAGGTCCCAGAGGACTGGAAAAGGACCAATGTGGTCCCTATTTTCAAGAAGGGGTGGAAGGAGAATCCGAGTAATTATAGGCCAGTCAGTCTCACCTCCATCTTTGGAAAGGTCTTTAAAAAGATTATGAAGGATCATATTTGTGAGAGTCCAGTGGGAAAAATAATGCAGCAAGGAAACCAGCATTCATAGCAGGTAGATCATGCCTGACCAATCTGGATTCGTTTTACAACAGTCACAAAACGCTTAGACACAGGAGTAGAGGTGGATGTCATTTTCTTGGATTTCAGCATGGCTTTCGATACAGTATCTCATCCCATTCTCATAAATAAATTAAGAGGCTGTGACATAGATGTTTACATGGACTGGTGGCTGGCAAATTGGCTTAGCAGTCGCACCCAGAGGATGGTAGTAGATGGGTCAGTATCAACCTGGAAGGATGTGCAGGGTGTGAAGGGACCCGCAGGGTTCAGTCCTTGGACCTGTACTCTTCAATATATTCATCAGTGACTTAGATGTGGGTGTGAAGTGTACTCTGTCCACGTTTGTGGATGATACTAAATAGCGGGGTGAAGTGAAAACTCTGGAGGGTAGGAAACAATTGCAGGCAGACCTGGACAGGTTAGAAAAGTGAGTAGTCCAACAAGGGCAAGATGTAGAGTGCTGTACCTAGGGTGCCAAAATATCCAGCATACCTACTGGCTGGGAAGTGACCCTCTCAGAAGCAACAAGGGAACTTTGGAGTAATAGTGGACTCCATGATGAACATGAGTCGTCAGTGTGACAAAATCACCAGCAAAGCAAACCACACTTTATCATGCATCACCAGATGCATAACAAATAGATCCAAGGAGGTGATACTTCTCCTCAGTGTGGCATTGGTCAGACCACAGTTAGAGTACTGCGTCCAGTTTTGGGCACCATACTTCAAAAAGGATGGTGATAGACTCGAGAGGGTCCAGAGGAGGGCCACTTGTATGGTTAGGGGCTTACAGGACAAGCCCTGTCAGGAGAGACTGAAGGACCTGGACCTCTTCAGCCTCCGCAAGAGAAGGCTGAGTGGTGATCTTGTGGCTGCCTACAAATTCATTAGGAGGATGCAGCAAGGGATCGGAGGTGCTCTGTTCACCAGGGCACCTCTTGGGGTAATAAGGAACAATGGTCACAAACTGACAGACAGCAGATTTAGGCTAGAAATCAGGAAAAACTTCATCACAGTAAGGGTGGCCAAAATTTTGAGTAGGCTTCCAAGGGAAGTGGTGCCCTCCCCTGCCTTGGGGCTCTTTAAGAGAAGACTGGATGGGCATCTGGCTGGGGTCCTCTGACCCCAGAGCTCTTTACTGCTTAGGCAGGGGGTCGGACTCGATCTGTTGAGGTCCCTTCCGACCCTAGCATCTATGAATCTATGAATAAAGCCACAGGGTTTAAGTTTGCATCACTACAGTTCATGCTACATATTCACAGTAAGTTAGAAGTGACATGGCATATAAAGTGTATTCATGTTTTTCCTTAGCATATTATCAGCATTTTACAGTTCTGATACATGCCAACAGAGAATGTAGTCGTTTCTTCAGCAGTTCTGTGTAGTTCCCTGAGTATGGAACACTACTTCAGTCTTGGACAACGTGCAGTCATACCATCGAGAACATTGTTGTAATATTCAGCTCAGAAATCTGTGCCATGCCACAAGAGACTCTAGTCTTTGGTTGCCTACAGTCATCAGATGTGAACCACAACATTAAACAGCAAAGAGGTATTATTTATGGTACCTTTTGGTGCATTTCAGATTTGATTTTGATTGTGCTAGGAAGGAAATTCATTGTTAGGCGAACTTTAATTGTTTATAAGCAAGTAGCAAAAATTGTGTTTGGTTATATAAGTGATGCTGATTATTCTTTGACAAAACTCTGAAAGCCATTGTATGAATATAGTTCTATGTAGAACATTTGTATTTGTCCATACAATCCCCCCCCAACCCTTAAAACATGTACAGGAGTAAATTAAAAATCCTGTTTGGTTTATAATTTACAATATCCTTTGTGGTATCACCAATAGTGGCAGTGGAAACTAGGGTGCAGCTGAAGATTAGGAAGGACATTTAAATCTTTTGCCTTTGATTTCTTAAAAGTGCCTTTAATAATAATCAAAAAATAAAAAAATATATCTTACAGTGTTCTAAACTATCCTTGGGATATGAGCAGCTTGGGGAGTGGTAAATGTTTGCATTTCTGAAGTATCCATCATGAAAGCCTCTGGGCCGTTTTATAGGAACCTCTCTGCTACACAGATTAGTTCTGAGAAGAACTAGAAGAACCTGCCCTTCGTTAGAGCATATGGATTAATAAATATTTCACTATGGAGCACCGTGACACAGCTTGGGTTTAGTCTGTTCTCTGGAGAGATGAAAGAGAAATGAGATTACTTTGTTTTTGAACCAAAAGACCTTTTTATGTACTAAAATTGTGCCTAACATACATTGTTAGTGGCAACAAATTATTCTATCTGGTATTTGTTGCATAAGCCATTATCAGTTTTGATTTGTTTATTACTAATAGGACATTTGGTAAATGGAAGACTATATAAATAATAAATAGCTTTTGAATTGGTCAGTTAGCTTTGAAGGTTTCTCATTTTTGGCATGGAAGTAGGGGTTTGTAGTTAAAACAATAATGCATGGCGGAAGTGTGGAATACTTTATTCTTGAAACCTAGAAAGTAGGTAGTTTTCTTTCTCTGCTCTTCGCATGTGTCATGAATTATAGATCAGACTAGTGGCAACTCCAGGAAAGCCCCAGATCTGCTTTCCCAGAAGCAGGAAATCTGCTGTAGTGACAGGATCAACTCCTAGAGGATGAATGCTTACCTTACATATATTTGCTTATTAATGATCATGCTGGTTACAGGTGCTGTTTCTCCCCACTGTTGGCAGTGTCTGTAAGTAATTGGTTCCTCAGGGATAAAAATGGGAATATTTATTACTTTTTTATAGTTAGTTCTATAAACTAATTACTCTTTTTCTTTGAATTAAGTAAATAGGAACAGAAGGACAGATGAAACCTTTAACATCTTCTTATGTGAAAACTGAGTAGGATATTGTCTGCAATAACTAGGGAGCTATCTATGTCACAGTGAGCAAAAGTGATTTTCACAGGCCATTCACAGAGCCAATTGTGTGGCCTTTCTGTGTAGAGTCCGCCCTTTGCCACTTATGGGCCAAGGGGATCCAGGTGGTCCTGCCTCCCAGTGCTGATTAGCTAAGAGGGCTGTCTGTTATGCAGCCCCACCCCTCACCACTGATTGGAGGAAAGGGGCAGGGCTGTGCAATGGGTGGGCAGCCTTCTCAGCCAATCAGGAGGGGTAGCCACCACCTTGCCTGCTCCCATTCATGTTGGCAGCCCTCCCTCCCACACTGAGGAACTAGCATCTTATTTTTGT